TAGCTGGAGGCCTGTCTACACCCGTGTTGACATCTCTCAAAAAGTCGTAACAAGTTAACCTTATTGCACAAAGGTTGAGTCTTTTTTGGTCAAACATTTTCCCATCCACCTTTTTAATTCTACTTCTTTACCCTCCACGTCAATGTGTGTGGGAGGGGAAAAGAATGGAAGAAAAATGATGCGGATGTGAACAAGACGATACCGCTTAACCTTCCGTCTCCATTCTCTTGCCTATCCACTCTTCTTGACTGACGTTTTACCTTGTGTAGTTGACCTGCATTGTCATGAGTGAGTTCACTTGCGAATCCAAAAGTTGTGATGGGAAAGAAGACGAAAACAATTGTGTCTTCAGTGAGCACACAAGCTAACACACAAAGTAGCTGCTACAAGGGGTTGAAAAAGGAGATCGTTTAGAAGCACTCAATGTCTCTTTTTACCATACAACGAACTTTACAAAAGCCATTTTGCAAATCCTTGGACCTAAGATCTGTTAATTTTCTTCATTTTTTTTTGGAAAACTCCATTTTTCTGGTGTTACTGATGAAGACATCGTGTTTTCTCACCTCCATCCTGTCATGTGGGTTTCAGATAATCCATCAAAATCAATTAGAGGGCCACTTTGGATCCGCTTTATTAAACCTAAAGTTGGGAGGCGATTAAATCAAATGCCATTTGTTTGAGGCCCATTCGAGGTGCCAAATCGTCTTTGAATGAACTCGTGTTTAAACGGTCTCCCGAAAGTGCGCCTACATTGAATTGCGATTCCAGTGTCGGCACCTGCAGAGGGGCCAGGAGGGTTGAACAACACCTAGGCGTGCCTTTTAAGCATGCACATTCCTCAAGGCATCTCCCAAAGGCTAGGGAGGCTCCGAGGTTAGCGACGGCACTGGCGGCATTTCACTGAGGGCACGGAGGTAAAGAGGACTGTGGTTTCATCCACTTGGCACAAACCAATTGAAGTGTAGAAGCGACTACTTGGTGGGATTGGTGTTTTGGAAACAAGATTTCCAAGTGTGGGAACTGATTTTACTCTTTTTTTTGACTGATTAAGAAGGCAAAAAGTGATTGGAAAGACGCACTGTCATGCACTCAAGAGCTCAATGCTGATTATCAGATGACTTTTAGTACACCATGAGAGAACAATCGGGCATTCTTGATTCCCCAAATTGTTAAGTAAGTCCAAAAAGGGTTTAAAAAACACTCAAAATTTCCTTTACTAATGGAATTCGAAAATTCACATGTCAGCAGAACTATTGGCACAACAGCCAATCCACGTGGGGAGGATTTGAACTTGCCTTTCCCTCAGTCAGAAATGAATTGTCACAATAATTTAAGGAGGCTGAGAAGTAAAAAAACTGCTAGTCA